TCATTCTATCCCATCCATCCTATTGTATGGTTGTGTGTAATTGCATGTAGTGCTATAGCTGAACTATTTTCTAGATTTCTTATCTTATTTGGGTCAAATAATCTAGATTTTGATAGGTTTTTATGTTCAGCTAGTCTGACTGTCCCTGTTCTACTAGTTTGACCTATGTATTTGACCTGACAATCATTCCAGCAGGTTATTAGATAAACTAAATTGTTTTGTTTAATTGACTCCACAGGATTGATCCCTTTAACCGACAAAGCTTGTTTCTAATTGAGTTTGTGGGTGGTTTGAATGCCATTTCTAAGAATTCTCCTTAAGGTTTCTGAGGTTCCTTCCTTGTATGGAATTACTATAAAAATAAGGAATCTAAATCATCAGTAGTAATTGCATAGAAGGAAGAAACCTCGGAAACCTTACTCAGAATTCTTAACAAGGCGGTCAGAAATAAAATTGCATGCAGTTACACACAACCATACAATAGGATGGATGGGATAGAATGACAGTTTCAAAATCTAATGTCACAGGGTGGAGGGAGAGATTGATAACAGAAGCTTTGTTTATCGAATCAAGTCAATGAAAATACGTGTAGTAGGAATGATTCAAAACCTGTCTAGCTGGACATCTGGAAAATTCAACTACCCCAACGACGACAAATAGGAGAAGACAAAGAAAACTATAAAACTCCAGTTTCAAAGTCGTGTAATTACAATTGATGGAATGATTATGAACAATACACTTTGTTCGAAACCTTGTCATCCAGTATGTGATAATACTGTTTCACCCTATGTGTGATACATCTAATAAACAAACTAATAAGGAATTCATTTCAATTAATTTCCCTGAAGAAGTTCAGACCTATTTATCGAACGTAGAAAAATTTGAAATTACTCATTTCAGTTTCGTTGAGATTTTTACAAATATAATTTTTACAAATGTCTTTTATATAAATAGTTTCTCTGACAACACTGAACAATCCGTCTATATGTATCATTTTTCGGCATTATGTTGCTTAGGCTTTCTACCTATAATTTGAAGTCACTGTGGAAAAATAGTGTGTTCAAATAATTTTCATGAGATCTGTAACTGACTGATAAGAATTTGTGATCAGATCTGAGGAAGATCAGTCAGTGTATTGAGTGTGACCTTCTTGTACACACGATTGTTTTTACACTAATACATCTAATTATAATCTGAACGTGAACATCGTGATAATTATTTCGCCGCATTATGAAATTCAAGGCTAGGTAACAGCTACTTTAGTTTATAGATTCACTAACTATTTTCAACATAAAACTTCGCATAGATGTGCACCAGTTCGATTTGCCACACTCCCTCCACGTAGCACCACCAATACCAGCCTTATTCCAGCATGATCCACTCTATATCAGCTAAAATTCCTGGTCGGGGAATTTGATGGCTAGACATGTGTAACACATTTCTTGGCCATCTCAATCGATGTAAATTCACTACTAGACCGAAATCTAACCTGAATACTACTAACCCTACTATACCGCCTAACATCGGATGGATGGAATGCAGACACCTATGATCAAATACAGTTAACCTTCTCGTGTGTTCCAATCCCAATGATCGTTTCTCACCGACTGCCATGGAGAAGGACGGAGTGAACTGTTGTTAAGCACATGTGCACACCTCATTTGATCGACAGCCAGCCGGATATCATTTCTACTAAGCCAGAGACGGCGTGACATTGGCAAATGCCGAACTAATCTTCTGTATCTGTGCTGAGACTTCGTCAGCGATCAGCCTGCTATGGCTGATATAGCTTCTCAAATAATTGAAGTGATGGTCAACACGCTCTACCACTTCACTCCTATCTATCTCTATGCTAGGAGTCAGTCGACGTCGGCTAGTCCTGCAGCCTCATCAACCTACATCTGACAGTAGCAAATAGCATTAAAAACATAGGAAAATTGCTGCTCAAGTCGTTTAGGAAACTGTGAATATTATCAAAGTCTTTACCAAGGAGGACTACATTATCCACATATTCTAAGTCAACGAGGTTACTCCCTGGTAGAAACAAGTCAATCCCTAAGTCCTTGAAGTCAGTTAGATTCAATTCTATCGGTGCATCTATTTGATGAAATTAAAAAGAATTGAGTGGGCATCCGTGAAGGTGAACGCGTACCCGCGAATATGTCCCAAACGTAGGACGAAATAACTTGCTGTTCAATAATCCCAACCAGTTTCTAATTGTTCTGCAAACTGACAGGAATCTCTGGAGGATACCTTGAAGGATATCAAATCCCGTGCAAAAACTTACTCATCAAAACTAATCTGTATCAATCAAACGGATACACTTCGAGTTCTAACATGAATAACTTCGAAAGAACAAGATATTTGAAGATGTGTTGAAATATATATACGCGAACTCAATTTATTTATAATTATATATACTACAAAATGATATCATCATTCTACTTGTTGGATTCTCACTAACTGCTGTTGACTATCTGAAATTACAGTGGTTATAAATATTTTTTGACTACAGCTTGATTACACACTGTATTTTTGGTACAAGTATGGAATTTCCAGTATGTGATATCGGTAGCCTAAATTTTGCCGGCCGACCATAGATATTAGGTGTGGGTCGGCAGGGGATCGAACCTCGGACCATGTGCATGGTCGGCAAGAGTCCTAACCACTGTGCCACCGACGCACTAATGACAGTAACATACTTCAATCGTTGAATGGTTGTAGAGAAAGGCATTATAAAAGCAACGCATCACAATTTTCAGTTACTACTTATTTATATACTTTAAGGATGGTTCGGTGGAACAGCGGTTAGGACTCTCGCCGACCATGCACATGGTCCGAGGTTCCATCCCTTGCCGACTCACACCTGGTATCCATGGTCGGCCGGCAAAATTTGGGCTACCGATATCACATGCTGAAAATACCATACTTGTACCAAAAATACAGTGTGGAATCAAGCTGTAATCAAAAAAAATAAAATTTAAAAAACAATAAATAGAAATATGTAAGCAGTCATCATATATTTGTAATGCCTAATGTCAAATTGTTATTGTGTATATTTGTCTGTAGGTGTGTGTGAGTGAGTATATGTTATTTGTCCTATGGAAAAGACATCAGTTCACATGTGATAAATGCGATAATACATTTTTAAAGGTCATAAAGGTTCATAGAGGCTTTTGTTGTTTTTTCATCTGTCTTGCTTCATTAGAGTTTGCCGTATAGGTGATAAGTCTATTAACTTCTCTCCTATTTACTGCATTTGATGTGGTTAAAATGCGCAAGGCTTCAGAGGTCAACCTTTCTTTATGTGTTGATTGAAATGCTCTTCCTAGAATTTCGATATTGTTGAAATCAACTTTATATCCTCTGTCTATCGCATGCATTACTATACCCAGTCTTCTCACGAGACCCTTTAATTCTACTTCACTTCTAGATGGACGTTTCATGCACGGCCTATGTTCATTCACTCTGACCTTCACCCTTGTCTACTGCTCTGTGCAATATAGCAAGCTTCAGACTCTGAACACTTTATCCAATAGACACAATTACTTTGTGACATTTTGGGAACTATATCTTTGACATGCACCAGCGCTTTATCCAGAGAATTAGAAGTCTTGAAATAGACTTTAATATTATATGAAGCAAATAGTCTTTGAAGTTGTTCAGCTGTATCTTTTCGATATGGAATAGGTATCGTCTTTTTTTTTTTTAATTTTCTGTTTTCCCTTGTGCCCCCTTTTTATTGATAATATTATCTAGTAGCTTTTCTGGGTAACCATTTCCAATCAAAATCTGTTTTATATTGGTGGATATCTCGTTCTCCATATCGTCAGTATCTGTTATGTTTCTAGCTGTGTAAACGAGATTCAAAGCTACTGAAATTTTCATTCCTATTGGATGATCCGACTGGAAATTCAAGTACATGTTGGAATATGTCGGTTTCCTGTACATTGTTAACTTTAGTTTCTCATCAGTTTGTCTTTTTACAAGACAATCCAGAAAGTTTAGAATTCCATCAGCCGATTCTACTTCACCAGTAAACTCTATATATTCTGAGATTAAGTTAATCTCTGTTAGGAAGTTTTCTTTTTCAGCTTTCTTTATGATGATATATGTGTCATCTACCTGCATATCTGTACCATATTCTAGGATGACAACTAAAGCCTGTCAGTGCTTTTCTTTCTAGAGCTTTCATATACACGTTTACTACAATTGGAGATGCTGGTGAACCTATTGCAACTCCATATGTCTGACAGTATAGTTTGTCTTTAAAGGTAAAATATGTAGATTCTAAACGGAAAATATACAGAAAAATACACACAATAACAATTTGACATTAGTCATTACAAATCTATGATGACTGCTTACATATTTCTATTGGTACAAATGTCTATCAACAAGTGACCTTCAAATAAACTGACTTCAATTTATGTAAAAAACATTTTGACTATATATTTTGAATGTTAATAAAAATCCGAATAGTTCTGCTGAAGAAGCTGTGACTTACACGACGAAACGTTCAAAGGACGGATCTTGTTTTGATTTTTTCTCTTACATACGCTGGGATTAATTTAAATAATTTATAATGAATCAATCTGATTCGGCGCTTAAATTATTCCAGGAAGTTCGTAACACCTACGGTCTTCTCTTTTTCTTTTTTCATTCACGTTCCTTAGTGGAACATAGGGCTTCAAGCTAGTGGCTTGAAGTTTCTGTAGTAGTGTTTATTTTACAGGATGAGGTTGCTAGCCTCATGCCCAACCTTTCCTCTTTATCAGCATTCTTTCTGGTTTAGCGAGGTAAAGGAGTGCGTCTGTGGCGCCGGGGATCAAATCCCGGACCATGTGCATGGTCGGCGAGCATCCTAACCACCGTCCTATGCCACCGACGTACTACACACCACACCTACACACCTACGGTCTGGAAACTTATAAGTGAAGTATATTATTGTCATTCCCTTATAACCATTGAAATTTCAGGTAGTGGTCTACAGTAGCTGATGAGAACCTGTGAAATAGAATGATGATGTCACATTTTAAACTACAAATCTGCTCTTTCTTTATCAAAACTTGTCAAGGGGACCAAATGAACGAAATACATAAGGAGAATACTTTGAATTATAATAATAAGGAAAAGAGAAGATGGATTTTTTTTAACACGGGCATTATTTATTTATTTATTCATACTTTAAATGTATAGAACCATCAATCATTTAGGCTGCTTGCTATAAACGCCTACAAATTTTTGTAAGGGTAAGGGATATCGGGTAGATAGATAGATTGATAGATAGATAGATATAGCACAAGCATGATTGAAAGGAAGGTAGTTAAATGAAATTGTAATAACATACGGAGATTTACCAGTACTCTCTAGAGTACTAATAAGTTTAAAGAAACATAAGGTTTTTTTATATGTTTAATTATAATAACAAAGTTAATTTTGACAGGATAGTGTGAGTGATAAGAATGTTGTTATATAGTCTCTGTGTTTGTATCGAGAATATAGGCAAGTGGTAAGGTATCCTTTCTCGACTTTCAGATTAATAACCAGTAAGTTCAGCGAATGTTTGATCCAATTCACCACTGAGTGCTTTGTATCTTTCTTTCTCAGCCAATAGATCATCTAGAAATTGTGAATAAAAGTAGATTTTTGAAGATTAACATCAGATAGATACAAACAAACCACTAGTTCCAGGAATCTTCACGTATGCATGCATGAGCACTACTCACATCAGATTGATAGGAGGTGGGCAAAAAGACTGAAATATGAACAGTTTAAGTCAATCGCTAGTTGGCTGTAGAGGTAGGTAGAAGTGTTTATTCCTCCACCCACGCACCCGCTCACTTCTAGATTGTTTTTACTTTGTGGACGTCAAAAAGCAGAAATCTGATTGGACAACTTGTTTTACCTCGAGTCAATCGCCGACCAATCAGAATAATTTATTCTCCATTTGACCTAGCCGATCTTCAAGCGTGTATGCAGATAGGATGTGTTTTTCCTTGATAAAGGCGTATCTACGTCACTCATGTTTCTTCTGAGATGCGTACATGTGTCCCCCAGTGCCTCAATCAGTGTCCAATTAAAGTACCTAAAACACTAATCCTACAGGAGGTCAATAGAGAGCCCTAATAGCTCCTTCGTGGTAACGTCTATGACTGCAGAACTGCACTGGATGACGACACGGATTCGAGTCTCAGAAAGAGGGACATGACATTTCCCTCTAGGTGAATGCAGGCAGATAAGCTTTTCTGTAACTGATTGGTGAGTGCCAACTGGCACGAAACCTAGATCAAGTAGGGCTTTCTACCGATCGCATCCAACCATCTAATATCAACAATTTACAGTCCAGAGTGCACCGTGATCGACAGCCACCTAGCCTATTGGTGACCACATACTTTGCAAACTTAACTACCTGATAAATTCAGTCTATATGTGTACGCACGAAGACTAGTAGTTCTACTGCTGCGTGACGAATGCCATCAAGTTACACTATCAGATATCAATTTGAAGATATATCGATGGCGTATCACTTCAGCTTTGTGAACACAATGTGAACTTTCCTGACTGATGCCACTAACCAGACAAAATACTCATCATCTGTCAGGATGATGTACACCAGTACGCACAGAAGTGAGACAGGACACTGTATCAAACACCTATGAACACTGACCTTCGTAAAACAGACAGTTATATCGCCTAAATATACAAAATTCACTGAGGTGATCAGGGGACGACGTACTACATGTAGGCCAAACCATCGCCTTTCTCGTCGGATAATAAATATTAACTGACAAAGGATTAGGTTGGAAAAGAGTTAGGAGTAAAGACGTCAAATATCGGCTTAAGCCAATGTAGTCAGGTGTAGATTGCTTCACTGGCTCCTTGAGATATTAAGGACCAATCGCTGGAGACAGAATGGTATGATAATGACGATTGCCTCTGAATTGTTCTTAATGCCAAAGACGCATTCATCATTCTTTAAGATCCTTTTGTAATAATTACCTGTCTTTCTTTCGCACGCACTTTCGGTGAATTTCACGCACAAAAAGTCAAACTTCAAGTCAAGGAAACAATCAATACTAATACCACATGTAGACTAGGAGGAGGGTGAAAACAGACAAAAACACCCAATCGCGACGGCGAAGGTCACCCACCAGGAGAGATAACTAATTAAGTTGAAAGCTCACTTCAACAAATGGAAGTATGTGCGATGAGATGTTGCCTAGTAAGCTGACGAAATCATCTTCGCGACTAAGACATCCAGCTCAGAGACACAACCAAAAATTTCAATATCCGTATACGATAACTATAGGTGACAGATTTACACATTTGTGGTTGCACGAAACTGAATACAAAATCACCTAAACAGATAATAAAATAATAATAGTGTGCAAAATTCTCTAACCAACAAACAATAGGCACATAAATTACTCCATTATTTTATTTTTTTATTCCATTGCGTTCCGAGTGGAACTATAGGGGTACAAGCTCTGAAGTTCCCGCGGGTTGCTGTCCTCACCTCCCCACCCCCTGCCAACCAACCAATCTTCCGTCTTTACCGAGGGCTTACAAAGGTAATCAGCAGAGAGTGCATCACAGCACACAGCAAGGGTGAGGGGTCGATATCCAGGCCACATCACATAACACATGGTTCCTGAGTCTCCCTACTGTTGTTGAACCACCACTACTACTACTACCCACGCGCCTAAAAGTACTCCAAGTCTACAGAAATGAGTTTAAATACCACAAAAAGAGACTTCAATTTCATGCAAAAAAGGGCGATGTGAAGCCTTGAATTTATTTATTGAAGACACTGACAAATAAAGAGACAGAGCAGCCTAAAAACAAAGTAAAGCATACAATGCTCAAAATGCACATAGTCCAAAAAAGATGCATAACTGATTAAAATAATGATAAATAATGGTCAATGCAGAAGGGAGCGAACCAAAAAAATTGAATGAACAAATGACAGAATAGCTGATAGAATGAACAAACAAGGGGGGGGGTGAGTTAATTGGATGCATGCATGCAGGTATGTTTATTATTATTAATATTATTGCTATTATTACTACTATTTATTGCAAAGACTAGTAAACTAATAATAATATAAATATTAAACTGTTTTTGTTCCCCGCCACCTCAGAACTATTCACCGCCATCGGCATCCTCTCTCTCTCTCTCGACGACAATAACAAAAAATATTACAATTACATGCAAAATTGTAAAATATATTAAGCAAGATGAAAGAGAATGAGAGGCGCAGGTGGTGTCGATCAAATGAATGAAATTCATTGATCATCGTGTCCATTTCTTTGCGTAATGTTTCATACATAGTACGCTCTGTGACTATGCGTTCTAAATTAAAAGAAAATGACAAAGAGAAATAAAGAAGAGAGATAAAACAATTTAAAACAAACATATCATTACCATCATTATGAAATAGAAGATTTCAGACTGAAAATATAGAATCAACAAGATATTTAAGCGTTGTTTGGGCACGAAAGTTGATTGGTTACAGGATTGGAATTCATGCACCATTGGACTGGATCTGAGTGGTTGGGAATGGTCTACGAGCTCGCCACCTTGTGACGAATAGATTTTGGGCTCGAATACCCCCTATTGGGTGGGTGCGTATTGCTGCGGAAGACACCCAAACTAGGACGGTAGAAACAGCCGTCCTATATTCTAATGCTGGTGCGTTGGTGGCATAGCGGTTAGGACGCGCGCCGACCATGCACATGGTCAGGGGTTCTATCCCCGGCCACAGACGCACTCCTATACCTCGCCAAACCAGAAATAATGCCGGTAAAGAGGAAAGGTTGGGCATGAGGCTGGCAACCCCATCCTGTAGAAATTAAACACTGCTGCAGAAACTTTAAGCCACTAGCTTGAAGCCCTATGTTCCACTGGAGAACGTGAAGGAAAGAAACTGAAACTCTCGCCAATATCACCTCATGATGAAAATACTGTAACAACCACATGGTCTGCCTGTTAGTTGTAAGATTATTGTCTAGATGACCCACAAGGACGTCCAACATTTTTTTTCTTTTGATTACAGCTTGATTCCACACCGTATTTTTATTACAAGTATGGAATTTTCAGCATGTGATATTGGTAGCCCAAATTTTGCAGGCTGGCCATAGATATCAGGTGTGGGTCGGCAGAGGATCGAACTCCGGACCATGTGCATGATCGGTGAGAGTCCTAACCGCTGTACCACCGACGTACAATGAGAGAGAAATCAGGCAATCAAATAGTATCTAAATATTCTTGAACATTTTGTTCATACACATTATTCTGCATCTTGAGAAGTGTGACAATATAAAAAATAAAGTGAAATCATTCGAAGGATTTCCATCAATGTTTTTCTGTTAACACAGAAGAAGTTCTTACTATACATACACAAACGAGGGAAACTTTAACTCTGTGTGTACACAGAGACGATTTGTCGAATCCCTTTTTTACTACCGTGACGTCAAGCCCTCTTGTTTCATTCAATTGCTAGTTTGCAGGGATTTGACTGGATACACGACTTAATCATAAGATGATATCATGAGACAGAGAACCATTGAAAAACCACCAAGAAACAGTGGACAGCTATTTCTACCGCCTTAGTGTGGGGTTCTTCATCAGTACGCATCTATCACAGGGGTTCCAAGCCAGGGACTTCCAGTTACAACGTGAGCGCTCATAAACCATTCAGCCACTGTGACTCGACTCAATGACCAACCCATGAATTCCAACTTCTGCCAATGCATGCACGATATAGCGTGCACTAGCCAATGCAATCCGTAGCGAGTATTTATTCACACTCCCCACTGAGTGGACTTTACCACCGGTCATCAGGCATAGCAGGTTGATCACTGACGAAATGTCACAGCAGATACAGATAGTTCGCATGGCAGTTGCCAACTTACGCCATATCTTGCTTACTAGACTGATATCCGGTTGCCTGTCGACTGAAGGATGTGTTTGCCGCACAGCAGTACTTCTCTGTATCCTCCTATATAGCTGTGAGTGAGACAGGTCCAGTGAAAGTGGAAGACATGAAAAGCATGACTAGCTAGCTGGCTGTCTTTCACCAGGAGTGTCTGCGTTCTCTCTACATCCCATGTTAGGTGGTAGGCAGGCATAATAGAGTAAGAAATATTGCCGTTTGGATTCAGTCGAGTGATAGGTAACTAAGAAGGGAAAATCAAAGGGACGAGTTTGTGAAGTTACGTCGGTTGACTGAGATGATTAGGACATGTGTTAAGCATTTATGCCTCGCCATTGCCTCCCTCGATGACGGGCAATGTTAGCTGACTGACATAAGCTGTGAACCAGGTTGGAAAAGAGCCAACTAGTAGATGGTTGGGGTCCTCAAGATGGCAAGAACCACACTAATAGCAGGCGACAGTTGATAATATTGCTTAAAATCGTTTCCAGTGGGGTGGGGTGGAGAGATGAATTCACTTTTTGTGATCTCCTATATCTAATAAAACCCTGTTGTTTTTCCATGTGTTACCTATTCTTTCTTCCTCACATTTCTCTGCTTATTATCGACTTCTGAGAAGGTAGGCCATAATATGTCACAACTTGGAATTAACGAATTCATATCTTTTATTTAAGAAGAATATTAATAAAATGATGACAATCAATCAACAGGAAGCCTTAATCCTGACAGAGGTTTCGTGCTTGTTGACGCTCACTACTAGTCAGTTATCAAGACATATATCCTGAATCTTGAAGGAACTCCTAGGCATAGTAAAATCAAGACCATTGTAGTGCAAGAAATCGTACCAATCGCGTTTCTGTTCATAAAGTTCTGGCTTTAATGTTATGTATTGCTATAAAACCTCTGCTATACAAATGAAATGTACATAAAAACTGTGTTAACCTTCTTGAATCTTATGTTCCAATTCCCTTTTTATTCCATTTCACTTCATTTAGTCTATTTCTATTTTGACATTTCACTGGTCTTATGTTTCTATCATGTAATATTCACATATTCACATTTCCGGATGGCAGTGGTCAAACCTCTTCCTAACAATTCCATCGACTTTGAAAAGGCCTTTGATAGAAGTGACCACCAAGTTATTTATGAACTACTACAACAATAGACAGGAAGAAATGGAGATAGATTGGCTATACTCTGAGGAAACGATCAGGCAACATCACTAGACAAGCCATTGCTCGAGTGGAAACCGAAAGGGAAGCGGCTAGTTGGTCGTCAGTGCAAGGGTGACTTGGAGGAGGTCATGTGAAGAGGAGATGAAAGCATGTGGGCAGACGTGGAGCCAGGTGAAAACTCTTGCAGAGAACCGAAAGCAATGGAGACGCGCGGGTGAAGCTCTATGTTCCTCTAGGAATTAAAAGAATAATAATAATGATAATACTTTAACACTATGGAGTGCAGTGCCCCAAATCTGTATCAGCATTATTCAACAGCTGGCTGGCTATATGACACCGGCACGTGTAAGGCGATGCACAATGCAAAACTTAGAGAAGCTTTTGGAGTGAATACAAGAGTAAGACGAGGCTGCCTGCTATCATCGATGATATTCCTAATTGTGGTGGACTGGATTATACGCCAGACTGTGGTAAGGGAGAAGACGGGAATACGTTAGACCGATAACGAAACTCAAAAAGATCTGGATTTCGCGTGTGGATCATTTATGTTTAGTGTCACACAAGCTCCAAGACTTGCAGGCGGAAACCAACAAACTGCATGAAGAAACAGGAAGCGAAGACAGGACTGCAGGTAAACATAGAGAAGACGGAGGTAATGAAGACAACCATCAGCAACAACAACCAGCACCATCAACGGGATAGATTTGACAGAGGTTACTTCATTCACTTATCTGGCCACTCAGTATCGTTTCAACTACAGGCAGATGTAACTGATGGGGATGTCAAAGGCAGCCAGATTCGGGAAGGTAAGATAGGCCTTCATCAATCTGAAATCAGTGTAGAAGTCTTCTACACTCAGAATAAAGAAAGAGGTTCAGATTTTCAACACCAAGTCAGTCACTTAGTTCTCCTAGATGGGTCAGAAATTTGGCTTACGTGTCACGAAAAGTATTTCTAACAGGTGGCTGCAGACTTTTATCAACAGCTGACCTCGCTGACTCCATACTGAAGACCAAATGACCGGCTGGCCGGAAACAAATAGCAACAAGAAGCTCTGGGAACGAAATAACCAAAGAATCTATTGCTCAACAAATATAACAAAGAAAGTGGAAATGTGTTGGACACACGCTGAGGATACCGTCGAATGACATCACACACCAGACCTTTGTTCGACTGGAACCTGAATGGGAGACGACAAGGTGGTCGTTCGAGGATGAAATGGAAAAGATCGTACGAGGAGGAGGTGAGAGATTATGGGCAATCGGGGGCCCAGTTGAAGAAGGTAGTGGAAAATAGAACAAAGTAGAGATGTGTTTTGCTAAAGCCCTAAGGAACAACACTCATAATAATAATAATTCACATTTCCGAATGTACTCTGTTTTCCGTTTATCTGTTTCACAGATGTCATCTATTGAACTTTGTGTTGACATCTTATCTATCTAGTTGATTTACTTTTTACAATTTAACCCCGTATACTACTTAGAATCTGGTAGTAGTAAAAGTCTTACGTAAAACTTTGGGTGAGAACACTTTTGTGGTATTTCGTAAGATGGGAAAAGGATGACCTCGAAACTTTTTCAAAGCATTTTTAAAACTCATTGAGGGCAATTTGAAAGTAATTTACTCAAAAAGAAGTCACAAAAAAGCAAATAAACAGCAAAATTAATATTCACTCACCTTTGGCCTTTTTAATATCCAAAACACGTCGATTGACGTCAGCTTCAGCAGCGTTAGCTCGAGATTCAGCCTGTATTAATTTCAATTTGAATTTGTTATGTAATAAGCATACAGCAAGCAGTCAAGGCATACAAGTAAAATAAGGAGGAAATATGAAAACTAATACCTGGGAAGAAAAGAACTCCTTATACACACCCACCCACCACGCACATATGCCTCTCTCCTCCATGACAGAGATATACGTTTTTGGGAATATCTACGGTCAAGACACTTTAAACACAAGTGTTTTGAGTGTGTGTCTGTGGACGCATGACTCAAGTGAGTAAATCCTATAAGCTTATGCCTAAAAATGCATGACATGCATATATGCATGCACAACATTGTTATAGCGCAAGCATGTTATGCATCCATGAGGGAGAATCGCACCTTCCAAATGATCAACCTCATTTTGTAATTTGGAGACTTGACGTTCAGCTTCAGCAGCTCTTTGTTCAGCCTACAGGAATACAACAGGTATATAAGTAAGAAAGTCAGTATAACAGTAGTGATATAATACTTTGAGTGAATTTCACGTCACGATGCCAACAAACATTCAAATACAGAGGCGGCGCCAGCTGTAGTTGAAATTGCATTCTCTCTCTCTCTATTTGCATGCGAATAGCATTCCGGTGAAAATAATGGAGACATGCATTGAGTGTTAAATTACTTCCAACCTATTCTTCTCGACGCACATTCAACAAAAATACAAAGAAAGACGAAATCAAAGTACACAATCTGTACTTCATTAAATATGCCAATGATCTAACTATTTCTGTCCCAGTAGTTTCTGCATTCAATTGTTCTTATTTAAATAGATTTTTATCTGAAGTTAAAAGATGGTCTCACCTCAATGGTCTTAAACTGAATCTATCTAAATATGTCAAAGTGTTGATTTTAATTTCAGATGCAAAAAAGACCTGCGTGGACTGACTGATTTAGTCCCATGATTCCTGTAATATTGACGGCATTGTGTGATAGGGAGTAAATTGAATATCCCTTATCTTGACAACAGTTTCTCTTCAAATCCTTGTTGGTCGTCCCATATCTTGCGGACATAAACAAGTTTAGACTTTGTGGAATAACTCAACCTCTCCTGTAACAATTTATTAATTCATATACCCTGACCATTCTTCTTCATTGTTCCCCACACGTATTCTTCTCTGTGCTTCTCAAAAAACAATATATCATAATACGTAGAATAATAAAGGCTGCATGTAGTGTTAATGGTGTGCTGAATGACATTACTGTCATTAGGCGCTTCAATTCTTGCAAGCAGTTGGCTAAAGTTATCTTACTCTTTTACTTGCTCTTGTGGAGCTGTTTATATTGGACGTTGTAAGCGTAATCTCCGAAAACGTGTAGCTGAACACTATCCGGTTTGGTTAATGAAAGGCGAACGTAGAACTGCAAAGTCGTCTATCTGTGATCACCTGTTAGAGTCTGGTCATTTAGCCCCACGTGATTCATCTTTCAAAGTTATATACATGGCAAAATCCAATCGATCCAAAAGTTTACGTTTTCTGCACTTATGCATAGCCGAAGCTTTAGCTATACATGAACAGAAACCTAAATTATGTGTTCAAAAGCGTTTTGTCAAACCCCTTTCTTTACCTTGGTCATAATAATTTTCTTTCTAGTTTTTATTTCATCTTACCACTTGAATTCTTTCCACTTCACTTCACATCTTCATTCTTATCGTAATTGTACTCCTAATTTTCATAATTTTTTAGACAACACTTGACATTTTTGTTATAGAACAATCTTTCATATTTTTGTAATTTATCCACTTCAACTCTACCCCTTATAACTTTTATCACATATACGTACATTGACTGAGCAATTATTTAGGGCCACTTAACAACCTTTTTCTGTAATATAAATACGACTGTACAGCTTGAAAATGAAGTCGTTGAAAAGAAATTTCTTCGCTGAACAAAAACTGTGTTTTTACTCATAAAGTTATCTTGTTTGTTACTGAACATCCTCTTTATTCGCAGCTTGCTCCTTGTATCTGGGTCAAACCAGAAGAAATTTCATAAGAATTCATGCTCTTACAGCCACTAAATATAAAAATTCAACTACACCATATTTAGCAGGGGTTTTGTGTGAAAACTCAGATGTCAGAAAGGAACTTATAAACTTTTTAAATCAGTAACTGAACTGCAACGTATAAGCAAAGAACATTATTATCACATGTCTTATCTATGATACTATCTACTTATAGTTCATCAGGTTTCCATCTATATTCTTTTTATAATGGTTTCATTATTAACATTATTGTTACTACTTTAAATTTTATGTATGTAAATACTTATAAAGGAGCTAAATAGTTGCAATTTGCATAAAGTCACTGAAAATTCCATTCTGTATAATGATTATCGTTTTGATTAAAGTTATTATTATTGCCATTATTGCAATATCATATTATTAGATGGTTGAAGGCGATACAGTTGGAAGCCTTATCTGACCTAGATCTAGGGGTTTCGTACTTGTAGGCACTCATCAGTTGGCAAAGCGTATCTGCATCCTTGAAGGAAACTCATATCCCTTCTGAGATTCGAACGCAAACGTGTGTCAACCTGTGCTCCTGCTGAGTAAATTTGAACTCACGATTGACATTTGTGTAGAAGTGTATTGGATACAATGTGATTGATGGCATGAATCACATCTTCACCCTTCGACAGATTCTGGAAAAGAACATAGGCATACCAACCGGTCTCCAACAATTGTCATATTTCTTGACCTACAAGAGACATTCGATTCCATCGACCAAGGTAATGTCTGGCCATGAAGAGAATGCCGAGAAAATACATCGCACTAATCAAGGCATTCTAATCGAACTCACGCAGCCACATAAGAGCCTGTGAAGAGTTGTTATCTGAACCACTGGTGTCCGTCAAGGATACCAACTGTCCTCTTTTCAGTTTAATTTCATCACAGATGTACTAAGGGAATGAATCCTAACTGACTTCTGCGACTAAGGGATTGACTTGTTACCACCGGGGAATAATCTCCTTGACTTAGAATATGTGAATGATATACTCCACCCTCCTACCTGAAGATGCACTGATAACACAGCGCAGTTTTCTGATGACCACCTTGACCAGAAATCTTCGAATGATTAGCATGCAATTTGCGCCTGTCAAATGTAAGATGATGGGGCTACAGGACTGGACTACATCGACAAGAAGTGAACTGAAGTAGAGCGTGTTGACCACTACTTCACTCATTTGGGAAGTTCCATCACCCCAATTCACACACTGATCACTGACGAAATTTCACCACGGATACACACCAGGCTCGTTTGGTATTTGCCATCTTTCACCTATCTGTAGCTTGGTAGACGTGATATTAATCACCAGTTCGCTAAGTCCTTAATCAAAGTACTTATTGTTTAGTTATATTAAAAATGATTACATTACAGATGAACTTACTTCCTTAACATGATGAGTTAGAACACTTAAACGTTCTTCCAAATCTTTTTCAACTTCAGCTGACTAGATACATACACACATGCAGCAGTACACGTACAAGATGGTTGGTTACACGTTCATCACCATCACATTATGACATTCCAGGATTGTCAAACACATGCACAATTAAAAATATATATATGTATTAATTCGATCCAATAGTGGTATATCGGAAAGAAATGAAAATAAAACGATGATGTGAGATTACGAGAAGTAAAATACGTGTAATAAACAATGATATATGATGATGACGATGGATCACAGGAAGTCAACAGACTCTTGTTTAGTTCCTCAGGAACAAAAAACATAAACTGGGAACACGTGAGTTAGTGTCTGTCAGCAAACAGATCTCTCTTCCTTTCGTAATTTCATTTCATACCTGTACAGAGTTGCTTTTTGGGAGGGTAGATTGACAGAAGAGGACAAAGGCGGTCAATTATAAACACAGATATACACATTCAAACATAGGAATAACTAAAAAAAAGGGTTGATGGCAGCAAAGATAGTTTTCTTTTCAACGAAGTCAGCAACTATGTAGATAGCCACACGTACATTCTCCTGGTATTTATAGTAAATAATCGATATTTATTTATTTATTTAAACGCATAAAAACTTGGTACAATATGGCACCAAGAAGGATGCGCCACACAATAATAATAAAACAACATAGATCAAAAGAAAAAAAAGAAAGAAGTGAAATATGTATATAAGTACAGAACGGATAAAGAACTTCATCTGGAAGGAAAACAGTCATGCTTAACAAGTTAACTATAATCGGGAAGGGAAGAAAGAAGGAAATTGCGACACGTGTAATAGCACACGATAAGCTTCATTGATTGTTTGTTGCTTTATTCAATTCATTGTGTGAGGGTTGAGATACTGCCCGGGCGCCCAGACCGAAGCAGGTGGTTTTATTAAGGGACCAGCCCCCGAGCCTTTGACTTGGAGTCTAATCCGCAAGGCAGCGGAGCAGCGTCAGGAGCTGCATTCCCATGGTTGCCAGTGACTCATATGGGTTCATACGACATTTGATCCGATTGGATACTGGAGCTCATGTACCCCATGGTAACTGCTTTAGTTTAACCGCTATCCAAACAACCTTCCTGACATGGTAGGACCTGCAGGGACAGAGTTCTAGTCAGTTTAGCATGTTGGGTCATTACGGTATTCAAGCCCGACCACCTCGACAATGTAGCAGTTATCGGCCGGTGATCATGATAAACTTACAGAAATCTATTTCCAGTCAAGGGTGAAATTCATAAAATTACAATGTGTAATAAACATGAAAGTCAGATAAAATACAAACATAATAAGAACAGAAATACTGAGAAACTTGACATTTTGTGCAATTAGACATTTTTTTAAAAAGTAAAAATAACAGAAATATAATTAGGAAGATTAGATAAGAAAGGGTAAAAGGATAATCATTATTGAGAGATGGTCATAGTAAAGACAACGGTTGGACGTATTTCTTTTGAGTATATAGCATGGGGATGAACTTGTGAGTCACGGGTGCCTCAGCTATGCCCAGTCAATCCCTTGATCTCCCTCCCTTTGAGAGACAGAGGGAAAGATTTGATCAGAACTTGGATGTATGACTTTGAAGGAATTTTCAAATGGATCTGAATATCCTGGATTTACTAGATGCTCTGTTACTGAACTATGTGTGCACACACACACAAACACTTGCACTCTGTCTTTGTATAGGGATTCAAAAGTTTAAGCCCACGCTATGTATTCAAAGGAAATACCTCCAACAGTTGTCCCTACCACGATTATCATAACAAGTCAGTCCAATCGATAAAGATTATCCTATTATTACCTAACTACATTGCTGTTGTTTATCTGAACTTGCTTTCTATTTTTTATTATTACCGAGTCTTTAATCCCTATTGGCACCAGAAAAAGTCAATTTTTTCAGCAATTGTGATCCTCCTACTATGCCTTTTATCCGATCTTCCTGTTTTTATTAAACTTGAGTGGAAAATAGAGGTCTGCAACTTTCTCACCGAATATTTTACTATAAATACATACGACGCTGCCAACATTTGTCTTTAAGTCCTATGATCGAATGTGTATAATTGACCTGTGTGTAGAATGTGTGTGTATGTTTGCGCATATGTGTTGGTGAGTGTGTGAACACTAGAGTGCACTTCTGTGCGAATCACTACTGCACTTATAAATGTAAATAAACCAATGGAAAAACAAAACAAAATAGGAAGTCAATAAGACGACGGGTGGTATAGTGGTCCGGCAGGCAGGCGGGCAGACACACTATGTGAGAAAAGGTCACATCAAACAAACAAACCACCAAACAGGCAATCAAGTCATATGTGCATTCACATTCATACATTCCAAAATTTTATCGATCTAAGGGTGAAAAATAAAAAATACATGCGATAGAGGCATAAACAAACACAAAATCAGCCATACCACTCCACTCCACTTCACTTAATGGCACTGCACTGCACAGCACAAACAAATCTAATGAACACATGCCAAAATAAAAACAACAGCAGTCTCATTTCAGGCCTAATAGGACAAAGTGTGAATAATTGAAAAAAGGCTTACAGCCTTTAATCGTTCAGTCAAATCTCGGATAGTTTCTTCATAACTTTCTTCTCTTTGGGCTGACTAGAATTTTAGAATGAATTTTGAATAAAACATGAAAGGAATGTGAATGAACAATGAATAAGACCTTGAAGGAAGAAAAAAAGGTTACAATCCTATAATTGCCATTGGTAATTCAGCTGTAAGAGACCAGGGTGTACTGAACAACCATTTTGTCCTAGTTTGGGACTCTTAACCAGTATGCATCCACCACAGGGGTTCGGAACCCAGGTCCATCCCGGTTACATAGAGAACTCATAGCCCACTCAGGGCAACACGGGTCTCTCTGACCAACCCATGCCTTCTAAATGTTCCCAGTGTTCATGGTGTATATTGGTGATGGTTCTCTAACTGATGTCGTCAGCTTGTGTATTATTATTATTATTAGTGTTCACTTGGGCTCTGAGTGAAACACAGGGCTTCCCCGCAGCAAGTCTCGACTTTTTTCTACGGTCCTTCTTTAGATGGGCCTACGACTGCCTAGGTCTGTCATCTACTCCACATCACATGGTCTCCTTCATGTCACCCTAGGACTAACATCCAAATCGTTGCTTCCCCCATTCGGGTTCCACCATAGTGATGGCCTGCCACGCAATATCATCATTCTAAGGTTTTCTCTAATCTATCTCAATTTTCTTCAGAATATTTGTTGAGCAAATGGGGTTTTTGGTTGATTTGTTCCCAGAATATTCGCACAGTCAGCACGTTCGTGATCAAACCCAAATTCAGAATTTCACCCTAAATACCTTTTTCAATTCTGAATAGATAAAATATCATATAATTTTAGACTGATGAAAGCTGAAAGTATTCAGTACCTCAAAGGCTGAAGATATTTATAATTCTTATTTTGATATACACTCTTGTGACTCTAGAGGAGTTGAACAAATAACATAACAAAAATGAAGAGAATCCAGTATATATATATATATATATATATATATATATATATATAAGTGCGTCGGTGGCACAGCGGTTAGGACGCTCGCCGACCATGTACATGGTCCGGGGTTCGATTTCCGGCCAACGCACTCCTTTACCTCGCTAAACCAGGAATAATCCCGGTAAAGAGGAAAGGTTAGGGATGAAGCTAGCAACCCCATCCTGTAAAAACTAAACACTGCTACAGAAACTTCAAGCCTCTAGCTTGGAGCCCTGTGTTCCACTGGGAACGTGAAGGAAAAACTATTATTATTACTTTATATATATATATACCTGTAATGAGACAATAATGATATTAATTGTTGATCAGTTAAAGAACCATGGAAAATTAATCTGGCTTCTGGACAAATTTGGCTGGAGTTCTCTAGTAAGAAATCGTGACCGATGGGGTCCATCCGCTCTGGAGTAAGGACAAATACTCCCTGCGGATGACACAGACTGGGGGCCAGTTATCATGAACAAGAACCATAGTAGTCAGCTACAGGTATCTAATACCAATATATGACCGTGTTCTCAACTTGTCTCTCTGTTTATCAGTAGGCTAAGGCAAAGGTAAAGAAGGGAAAATTGGATTGACGGTAGCTAGCAGCAGAATCTTGATTTCATCCCACTAATTTGAACTTATTAGTTGAATGTAGCTGCATCTCCCCCCACAGGGAGTGATAGCATCTCCTCCCAGATATCACGAGGTCTTAATTCCACTACCAACCAACCAACATCAATAAAATAACAAAAACCTTCAGTCATCATTGGAGCGACCAATCGACCGACCATTTTAGTGTAATATAAATCACCAGTCTACGAGGAAATACAAAATAATAATTAAAAATGAAAGTAACCACTTCAGTCTTTGTATCGTTGTGTGTGGGTGTGTCTATTTATCTACAAGATAATAATACTACCTGGATCTGTAGATCGAGTCTGTTCAAGACTGGATTGAGTCACCTATTCAATAGAAGGTAATCAACCTTCACACAAGAAAAGTTACACTTTCTCTGACTGTGTACTTAGTTTAAGGGATCCACATCAAAATAATCTTTAGTACAATGTTCATTCACCGTAATCATAAGCTGTGTGGCGACTTGAACTGCCGCACATATGTGCAAAGTTCTATGTCGAAAACAGACAGACAGACAGACAGAATCATAGGGTGTCGTATATCAATGATGACTGAAAGTATTGGTTTCTTAGCCCATGAGTTTTAACTATACAAAAGACGCCGACTCTGGCGTAGACGAGATGTTCAACTATCGACCAAAGGGCGGGTGTACTGCTCATCAGTCCGCTCCGTCCTCCCTTATGGTTGTGAGACCTGGCCACTGAGAGCGGAAGACATGAAAAGACTAGCTGGCTGTCTTTGATCATAGGTGCCTGCGCTCTATTTCCCGTGTAAAGTGGCATAATAAGGTGAGCAACATGGAGGTTAGGCGTAGATTTCTAGGTAAACAGGGGAAATCAATCGACGAAGTTGTGAAGTTACAAAGACTGAGATGGTTAGGACATGTGTTACGTATGCCAAGCCATCGCCTCCCTCGACGAGCAATGTTAGCGGATATAGGGTCAGGCTGGAAAAAAGCTAGCGGCGGTCAAACAAAAACATGGCACCAGTCAATGAAATCCACAACAGTTGGTCTAAGCCACGTAGGAAGGTGTAGACTTCCAGGCTGGGGTCCTCGGGACGGTAAAAACCAATGCAGGCTCGAAACAATTGGTGACATGGCTCAAAATCGTTCTCAGTGGCTCAGATGCATCCACTCCTTGTGACTTATGATCTCCAATGAAACTGTTTTGTTCTTCGTTATTACTCTTCCTTTTTCTCACACTTCTGCTCACTGTTTCTATTATGCTTTTCTTGTACATAGACAATAAACAATAGATTACCCTTTATTGGTGATGTAGTAGACGTCCGATGACAAGAAATTAACCAATCAGAATGATTATATCACTGTTCTTTTGGGTTCTGAGTGGAGCATAGGGATTTAGCAAAACATCTCCATTTTGTTCTCTTTTCCACTAATTTAATTTTTTTTATTTTTTTTCTTTTTTGGCCACTACCGTCTTTAGCTGGGCCCAAGATTGCAGATAGTATCGCACGATCAGCTGCATACCACTCTTGAACAACTTACTCCATTGTTTCCCATTCGGGTTATTCTCAAGCAACGATCTGGTGAGCGATGTCATTCGACGGTCTCCTCAGTGTGTGTCGAATCCATCTCCATTTTCTTCGCTATATTTGTTGAGCAATAGGTTCTTTGGTTGATCCATTCTCAGAGCTTCTTGTTGCCAATTGTTTCCGGGCAGTCGGCCATCTGATTTTCAATATTTTCTTCCTTCACGTTCTCAGTGGAACATAGAGCTTCAAGCTAGTGGCTTGAAGTTGCTGTAGCAGTGTTTAGCTTTTACAGGATGGGGTTGCTAGCTTCATCCCTAACCTTTCCTCTTTACCAGGATTATTTCTGGCTTGGCGAGGTAAAGGAGTGCGTCCGTGGCCGGGGATCGAATCCCGGACCATGTGCATGGTCGGCGATCGTCCTAACCTCTATGCCACCGATGCGATTTTCAATATGAAGCCAGAGAATGCGGCAGCTGTTGGTAAAAGTCTGCAACCATCTGCTAGAAATGCTATTCGTGGCGCGTGCTCCGAGTTTCTGACCTATCTAGAAGAACTGAGTAACTGACTTAACATTAGTGTTGAAAATCCGAACCTTGTTTTTTATGCTGCTTAGTTCAGACACCAGTGACTGGCCCTATTCAGGTAGGTAGTTACCTAGAGTTTCAGTGGGAAGTCGTGATCAGTAGGGTGCAGCAGGTAGGGTGTGAGGACTCGTCGAAGATATTGGCTAGCGGTTGAGCTATATCGTGAATTGGCAGAAGTTAGAATTCATGGGCCATTGGATCGGGTCCCATTGGCTTAATGGTAAACGAGCTCGCTAACCTTGTAACCAGCAGGTCCTGGGTTCGAACCCCGGTGGGTGTGTACTGCTGAAGAGTCACAAACTAGGACGAAACAGCTGTCCAGTACTCCCTAACCAATGTCAGCTCATGATGAAATCAAGTAACTAACCAACCAAATCCCTACAAACCAATAATTGATTACAGATTGATGAAGGTGTATCTTGCCTTTCCGAATCTGGCTACCTTTAACATCCTCATTCTTTCCATCTGCCTGTAGTTGAAACGTTGCTGCATGGCTACATAAGTGAAGGAAGTAGCCTCTTTCAAATTTCTCCGATTGACAGTGATCGGTGCTGGTTGTGGTTGCTGTTGGTGTGGTGGCGGTTGGTAATCTTCATCTCCGTCTACTTAACTTCCACTTGACGTCCTGTTTTCGCTGCTTACTTCTTCATGCAGTTTGTTGGTTTCCGCCTGCAAGTCTTCGAGTTTGTATGACACTAAACATAAATCATCCACACGCGAAATCCAGATGTTTTTATCAGTTCAGTATATTCCTGTCTTCTCTCTTCCCTCCCACTCACGGTTTTCTGTATAATCCAATCCACCACAATTAGGAATATCATCAGTGATAACAGACAGTCTTGTCTTACTTCTGTATTCATTTCAAAGGCTTCTCCGAGTTTTCCATTGTACATCACCTTACACATGGCATTGTTATTTTTCTGATAAAGATTTGTGGCGCTGCACACTCCACATAGTGTTGAAGTAGTTCCCAAATAAAACTTGGTGGTGGTCAACTCTATATCAAAGGCCTTTTCAAAGGCAATGAAACTGAGAGGCACACACACACACACACTTGACTACCATTTAATCAGAATTGGCCTAAGTAAACTAACACCCACCAATTTTTATTGATCATAATTATAGATTAATTGGCATAGACCTTCTTGGAGATTTGAGATTTTGAAGCATACCTACCTACCTACCTACCTTATTGCGTGTAAATAGATTTTTATAGGCTCCAGAGTGCGGATATTATATAACACTACTCTCTCTCTCTCTTGAGAACTTAATGCTCAAATCTTCATTTTAAAAAAATAAATAAAAATTATCCGGATTTTTTTCTACCTCTCAGTGCTATGATAACCTCATTATATTAATCAATTAAACAAAAATGCATATAAAAGAAGGAATATCGATCAAATAAATAAAAAAAAATCAATAAATATCTATTTTTTCTGCTTTTTCTCCTTCTAATATTACCTCTTGTTCAGAGATTTCAAGAGCTTTCATATTATTACCGACAACACGTAATTCCTCTTCAAGTTCTACTATTTTGCTTGAATCGATAAATGAAAGAATTAGAAATGATAATAAGAGTTAGCATTTTTCGCTTGTTTGTGTGTGTGTGAGCATTCCGTGGGAAGGGGGGTTGGCGCGTTGCATAAACACTCCAGACAGTAGTCAAAAATCATTCCCATCAAGCATTTCATGCTAGCAAACTCTGGACTCTCAACAAACAAAATGCTAACTAAGGTCAATTTAGTTGTGGGGGGGGGAGGTGTGTATATGGGAGTTGATTCGCCAAGCAAACAACCGCAATAAACTATAAATATGTTAGAAAAAAATCAAAATACAACTTCAGCAAACAAAAAATAAATACTCAGAATACACATGAGTAGTAGTCACATTCAACCGTAGCACACACACACACACGTACACGCACACAGACACACGCATATATTGCCTATAAAGTAAACAAATAAGAAAAGGTAACATTTGAGGAAGCGCGTAAATGAAGTACAAAAGTTTAGAAAATTTATATCAAACCAAAAAAAGGTCACAGAAATGAAACAAAGGAGAACACACAACACCTGAAAGTCTTGACTACTTAAAAATGCACATCTCAGTCATGTGGTCCTATCAACTGCCTTCATGTGGCAAGGGATGTTCCTTACAATTGTGAGGAGCTTACAACCAGACTTGGTAGGCGTGGAAGTTTCTACCTAGAGGAGCTGGGAAACAACTGATGCCAAACCTTAGGTGGTGTATACGTGGGCTTCGGAAGCCGAAAAGGCCTATGAACCTGTTTTTTTTTGTTTGGTCATCGACTCTGCTCTACTGCTTTGTGGAATCAGACTTCGAGTCAAACACTCAGGAGGGGGGGTGATAACCTTGAATGACAATGATTGTTTTATTTCTAACAATTATAACTGGATTTAAAAATCGTTAACAACTGAGGAGAGTCGAAACATAATTTTTACGAGATAAGTTGTTCAATGATCTAAGGGCCAACCTTATCACGAGCTTTAACCTAGAAATGAAAAACTAATCATGTCTAATCTATTATTTTTAACCATCCATTTAGTTTTTATCAAACTTTGATTAAGAGCATACATATTTAGACGAAATAAACAGTTGCCCATAAAACATTAAAAAAAAAACTATGAATTGGGCAATGGTGACTTCCTTCTCATGACTCATTGCTGTTACTGTGAGGGTTGGGATACTTGAACAGGTGCCCAAAGTAGGTAGTTGTCTTAAGGGACCACTCCAACCACAGTCCCAAACCTCTGACTTGAAGTCACATCAGAGAGTGGCGTCAAAAACTGGCTATGCTCCAATGGTTGCCCGTGACCAATACAGGTTTATGCGCAGCTATTAGATCCCTTTGGATTATGGAACCCATGTACCCACTCACCCACAGTAACTGCTTTTATTCAAGCCGCTATCCTAACAATCTTCTTGGCACGGTAGCACCTGCAAGAACACAAGTTCCAGTTCAGTGTAGCTTATTGGGACACTGAGGTATACATACCCGATTACCACATCGAGGAGTAGCAATCATCGATTAGTGACTTGAATATTTACAATAGACAGTACTTACACGAATCAAAATAATGAAAACCAACATAAAAATCAAAACAACAAATACCTGTTCTTTTCTAATCTCCATAGATTTCCATTTAGCTGCTAAATCTTTCAAAGTATTCTCAAGTTCAGCAACAAGCCTAGAAAAGAAAAGCAAAAATGGTGACACATTAGAGTATTTCCCTTTTTATGCAAAAATTAACTGGAAAAGTAACGGAACTATCAGATGACAGAAATAGCCTTAAATTATGGGGTACCGATTTTAAAAATTTCTATAACCAAATACATCAGTTGACAAATCACAGAGAGTAAATGCATCACCCCATCCTCATTGAGAACGACTTCCAGCCATATCAATAATTATCTCCAGCTTTCATTGGTTCTTACCATTCCAAGGACCACAACCGGCCAACAAGTCTATAACTCCCTCCATTGATAGCTCAAACTAACTGTAATGGATTTGATTGACTAATGAAGCCATGTTTTGACTTGACAACACTAGCTGGCTCTTTTTCAGCCTGATCCATCCTATGTCAGTCAGCTTACATTTCCTTTCGGCGAAGATGACTAGGCATAAATGCGTAACACATTTTGTCCTAACCATCTCAATCGATGTAACTTCACAACCTTATTAACTGACTTCCCCACCTCACCTAACACTCGATCGATGCCTAACCTGAATATTACTCATCCTATTACACCTACCACCACCTAACACGTGAGACAGAACACAGACAAATACAATCAAAGACAGCTGCTCGATGTAACATAACATAACAATTTCGCTATATTCTTTTCATTTCTTCCACTTTCAATGACCATGGCTCACCACAGCCGAAAAACGAGGACGAAGAGAGCTGGTGACTAATACACATGTGCTTTGATAGCCAGTCGGATATCACGTCTACTAATTCAGAGATAGGTAGGTTGGCGAATCTCACACGAGCCTTTTGTATCCGTGGTGAAATTTCATCAGCGATCAGTCTGTGTGGGTTGGGGCTGATGCAACTTCACAAATGAATGGAGTGGTGGTGGTCAATAAGCTTTACCATCACTTCACTCCTGTCGATCTTTGGGCTAGCAGTGAGTCAGTGCAGTCTAGTCCTGTAGCCTCATTATCTTGCATTTGACAGGAGTAAATCGCATTCTAATTATTCGAAGATTGCTGGTTAAGGTGATCATCAGAAGACTTCGCTCTATTATATCAGTGCATCTTCAGGTAGGAGGGAAGACTATATCATCCACATATTCTAAGTCAGCGAGATTATTCCCTGGTGGTTACAAGTCAATCCCCTGACTGTAAAGGGAGTGCCAAGAAAGTACATTGCACTAATCAAGGCACTCTATTCAAACTCACGTAGTCGTGTAAGGGCTTATGGGGAATTGTCATCTGAATTGGTAACAACCAGTGGTGTCCGACAGGGATGTCCACTTTCCCCATTTCTGTTTAACTTCATCATAGATATGCTGATGGAAGTATCCTTAACTGAACGTAGTGACTTAGGAATCGACTTGTTACCAGGGAATAGTCTTATGGACTTAGAATATGCAGATGACATAGTCCTGTTAGGGGAGGATGCTGACAAAATACAGAGTCTTCTGAACACCTTGAGCAGCAATCTCCGTATGTTTGGCATGCGATTCGCCCCTACAAAATGTAAGATGCTGCTACAGGACTGGACCACGTCAACTCCTAACTTAGTGATAGGGAGTGAAGTGATAGAACATGTTGACCACTTCACCTATTTGGGAAGTTGTATTAGCACCAACGGACTGATTGGCGATGAAATCTCAGCACGGATCCGAAAAGCTCGAGCTGCTTTCGCTGACTTACACCATCTCTGGCGTAGGCGTGACATCCGGTTATCAACCAAGGGACGTGTGTACTGCTCAGCAGTTCGCTCCGTCCTTGTCTATGGCTCTGAAACATGGCCAATACGCGTTGAAGACATGAAAAGGTTGACTGCTTTCGATCATAGATGTCTGCGATCTCTGTCTCACGTTAGGTGGTTTCACAAGGTAAGTAATGTTGACGTTAGGCGTAGAGTGTTGGGCAAACAGGGAAAATCAATCGACGAGGCTATAAAGTTACATAGACTAAGATGGCTAGGTCACGTGCTGCGCATGCCTAACCATCGCCTCCCCCGACGGGCATTACTAGCTGATATAGGTGCAGGTTGGAAAAGAGCCAGTGGTGGCCAAACAAAAACATGGCCTCATCAATCCATGAAATCCTTGACAGTTAAACTGAGTCAGGTAGGGAGATGCAGACTCCCGGGTTGGGGCCTCGGGACTCTAGGAATCAATGGCTGGAGACAATAGGTGACATGGCTCAAAGTCGTTGTCAATGGCCAGCGCAGATGTATTCAGTCTCTGTAATCTTTCATATTCCTTTCTACCATTACCCATTCTGTTTCACTCTTATACTTGTCAAACTCTATTGATTCTCTTCACTCATCTTCTTGTCTACCTCTGTGTGCTATTTGGAACGTGGCAACTCGAACTTCTGCACTTTGGTGCCAAGTTCTATGTTGAATCCAGACAGACAGACAAGTCAATCCCTAAGTCGCAGGTCTGTCTGTCTGTTTTCGACATAGAACTTTGCACAAATGTGCACCAGTTCAAGTCGCCACACTCCATATAGCACACAAAGCAAGAGAAAAAAGTACAAGAAATGCATAATAGAGACAGTAAACAGAGGTGTGAGAAAAAGGAAGAGTAATAACGAAAAACAAAACAGTTTCATTGGGGATCATAAGTCACAAGGAGTGGATGCATCTGAGCCACTGAGAACGATTTTGAACCATGTCACCAATTGTTTCCAGCCTGCATTGGTTTTACCATCCCGAGGACCCCAACCAGTCAGGAAGTCTACACCTTCCTACGTGGCTGGCTTAGACTAACTATTGTGGATTTCATTGACTGGTGCCATGTTTTTGTTTGACCGCCGCTAGCTTTTTTCCAACCCGACCCTATATCCGCTAACATTGCTCGTCGGGGAAGGCGATGGCTTGGCATACGTAACACATGTCCTAACCATCTCAGTCTTTGTAGCTTCACGACTTCGTCGATTGATTTCCCCTGTTTACCTAGAACTCGACGCCTGACCTCAATGTTGCTCACCTTATTATGCCACTTCACACGGGAAATAGAGCGCAGGCACCTATGATCAAAGACAGATAATCTTTTCATGTCTTCCACTCTCAGTGGCCAGGTCTCACAGCTGACCATAAAGGAGGACGGAGCGGACTGATGATCAGTACACCCACCCTCTGGTCGATAGTCGAATATCTCGTATACGCCAGAGACGACGTAAACTGGCAAATGCGAAACAAGCCTCCTGTATTCGTGCTGAGATTTCGTCAGAGATCAACCCGTTGGGGCTGATAGTACTTCCCAAATAAGTGAAGCGGTCAACGTGCTCTACCACTTCATTCCTGTCTATTTCTAAGCTAAGAGTCAGTGTAGTCCAGTCCTGTAACATCATCTTACATTTGGCGAGGGCGAATCGCATGCCAAACATTCCTAGATTGCATTTCAAGGTGTTCAGAAGACTCTGCATTTTGTCAGCGTCCTCGCCTAGAAGGACTATATCGTCGCAGGAATCAATTAGACTAAATTTCATTAATACATAAATGATAAAATTAAACACTAAAAGGGGACAGTGGGGCTTTAGAGATGATAAACATGTATATACGAAACTGAAACACACTTACGCTTCAGATTTTGCCATACGTGCTTCAGCTTCGACTAAATTTCTCTCCGTCACTGCTAGTGTACAAGAAATCTTGACAGGTTGCACCATTCACAAGCAATGTATGCACATATATGTAGTATATATTTGGAGACGTGCAGCAAGATAACATACGCGGGATTTTTCATAGACGAAAAGGGAAGCATGCAGTTAAAAAGAAATAGAATAAATTGAAATTATTATTTTCCGTTTCAAATATTTCTTTAACGGTTGCTTTTTTTACAGTCCATGACAGATAATCTTTTGATTTTCTAATATATTTCAAGCAAAAATTATTTCCCCGTGATCACAAGGGAAGTAATCTGGCTCCAAATGGTGACATAAATCACAGAACGCCCTCCACAGACGGATACGTGAACATATTACAACAGCATGGTTTTGCAAGGGAGAGAGGAAGGGTGTGCAAAGCTCTATACATTCTAGAACACTTGATCGACTCCTGTCACTCTACCCACCCCAACCATAATTTTGAGATCATCATCTCACGAATTCATGCTAACTTGCCAACCACGTTTCATCTTCCTTCTAAACTTCTAAAGACAGTGGAGGCTTTGGCTAATCATTCATGAAGTCAAACCAGACACATTTGCACAATCCCTATTTCTGCCTTAGTTAACCTATGTACCTTTCCCTCACTACTACGATTATAATCATGATTAGTAGTATTCTCACTTTGAAGTGTTTCCACTTGTCATTCTAAATCAGAATCGTTTTTGAAAATCTCACACCATGTTATGTAACGTTTTATACTAGCCTACTAACCCTATACTTACACACCCCTTTCCAGCATATATACCATCCAACGAATTATTCTATATATGATACTAGTTGTTTTGCCACTTGACACTTCATATTTAACTACGATTATAATCACAAATATTTTAATTGCATCTTATACTACTATTGTGGTGAGAGCTGGTGGACAGTAATTTACGTCAATGTTTATGTCCCAAATATTGGTCGTGAGAAAAATAAGAACAAAGACTTTGCGTAGGCGGATACAATTAACATATAAATGATCTGACATTCAAGAAACAGCCACAAAGAGATGCAAGGCTAATTTTCAGTGAGAAACAACCAATCAGAAGATTGTGTTTTTCTGTTAACAATAATCTATAATAATGTACATGAAAATCTATAAATATGTGTTGATTTCCTTAATAAACGGTCTGTTGCCTAGGCCCTTGTCTTCTGCCACTGCACTATTATTATTTTATGTATTCACACCTCTGTTTAAATTTCCTCACAGAGTATAATTTCTTAATATAAAAAACCACATAAATATGATTATACAGATTGATAATAAATTCGTTGTTGACGAGTCTGTTCGGTGAATACTGTTTTCGGAACATAAATCAAAAATGGCCCAGTTCCAACAATCCGTGTGATCATGGGGAAGTAATCTGGCTCAAGGCAACAAAATCAGTTTGTAAGTTAACCAACCACTAGAAAAAAAGGGTTAAGAACAAAACTGATCCAATGCCAAAATGCGTAAAATATTTTCGCAGACACTATATAAACGGGAGGAGTACTCAATCTAGGGTACAAGCCCACCGTAACACCATGCAACATAGTGGACGATGCGTGGATGAGATGCATTCTTTGCAGGCGATTTAATGATGGTATGGGGTACACCTCTCTACCTTTCTGCAGCCTCAAGACGTGCTTCAGCCCGTTCGAAATCAACCTCGGCGATAGCTAATTTACGTGCAGCCTAGATATGAAGAGAAAAAGAGAACAAACAAAGAAAAATATGTAAAATCTATTATGACGTGTCTTCTTTTATGAAGATATTTTTTGAGGGTAAAATAAATTCAGATAAGAACCATAAAATCTTGATATAAAAACTAGCGAAGACGTTGGTGTTCTTCATTACCAATCAATCGATCGTTAAGTGTGATTTGATTAGTTCTATAGTGAATTGACCGATGTGTAAGAAGGTTAACTGTTTTTCCTTATTGGTGGAATCATAGGAGTTACATGACAGTAGAATTATGTGACTTTATGCATATTTGTTCTACTACTACTTCTTGATGTCTTATGATCGACGAATTCGAATTATATTGACAGAATTTCCTTCAGTTCTGTTCTGAAAATGGACCACTAAGTTTTAATGCTTGGTTCGAATTTGAAACTGTTGGCCTCTGCATAGAATGTAGCCAAAACTGCTTGCTGTTTTCAGCGATCACATATAATAAAGCAGGAAGAACATTGAAACAAGATCCATCACAATTATTATCATCAATTTCAGAAGCATCAAGCTCAAATGGATAATGAAGGATATTCAAAACCACTACAATGTTATAAAATTGGGGGGAATTTCAGGCACAGCAACCAAAACCATACACACGCACCAGAACCCCCACCTCCAACCCTCGTTAAATGACTGAAGCAATCAGTTGCATCACTAGTCGTGAATACTATACGTCTATTCTGTTCAGTTTGCGCATGATATGGTTCTCTACTTCTGTGACGACAATGGATTATTCATTATGACTAACTAGAAAACCTTTTATACAGTACATGAGGAAAAACATAAGCTGTCTACATATTTTGGAAAGCAGTTTATTGATAAAAATTTTTTTTGGCATTTTAGGTTTCTTTAATGCTACTACTTGTTCAAGGTTCTTAGTGTTAAACGCCATAGTCTGACTTAACCAAGAATAACTGACTAAATGATGGTAAATTATGGCAATGTGAAACCATCATAATCAAAACCACAGTGACCTTGAACAGACAATGAAAATTCAGGCGCAAAAAATGTCGTAATCGTTAAAAAATGCACTCGAAAACATTGTAAACATGACAGTACACTACATAGTTGTCCCTTATGTGTTGTGAGAATGTTTGTCTCGAAATCAATACACAGATGATCTACAGAGAAAGCACACCATAAGCGATAGATGTAATCATCCAGGTGACTGTAGGTCATGGTACTTTGAGATCCATTGACATTTCTGACACTGTTCTTTAACCTGCTCCTAACTCTAGTCACAATCCTGTTTAACTCCAATCCTAAGCTCAACCCTAGACCCTAACCTTAATATTAAAAACGATAACCATTCCTAACGGTGTAGATTAACATAAAAAGTACCTAGAGAATAAGTAGAATGCTACATCTACGGTCACCAAAACTAAAAACGCAGGCATGATGTGATTTGAAAGGACCCTTCATAGAGTTTCCTAAATCGGATTGGTTCTTGGAAGTCAATCTTTGGCAGCCCTTGACTCTGGTTATGATACTTTAACTTCACCCCTAAGTGATATATATCCTAATTACTTAAGGGTAGTTTACGAATAAGTAGCTTTCTCGCAAAAATTTGTTGGTAACTACTATCTGGAATTGTGTTTAGTAATAGTTCAGTAATGTCGAAGGCGAGAATAACACACTGATCGACCTATGATCAATCATAGTACTAAAAAGAGAGCAACTGTAATACACGGGAGTGAAAATTGGAAGGCAATAGGTATGGTTCCTGGCATGAGTAGTTTGTCATACGACGAAAAACTACACAGTTTAAATCTCCACGTCATAGCGGAGACAGGCAGAGACATCTGACTACAATGTGTACAATTTTAGATTATGACTAGTAAAATGTCTTTTTTTTTTTTCTTCGCACCAGGCTGTCGAAACACCTCAGAAGATACCGGAGGAGAGTTAGAAAGCCGAGTAGAAACTATATCGCTGGGGAGTGCCGGTTATCACACCAAGTCATCAACTCCTAGGACCGACTCTCATAACGAGTGGTGTCAGCGCTGTCAATTGACCCATTAAAGAATGCACTAGACATTATGGGTAAATTTTGTTTTGATAAAGTCTCACAGTGTTATACAGTAATGTTTACAGTAAACATTACTGTATAACACTGAGACTTTATCAAAACAAAATTTACCCATACTGGAATTACACTCTACCACAGTGCACAAGTTTTGTTCTTATATCAATGCACTAGACAAGCAAACAAATTTACCAGAAAAGAATTAACATAGGTTACAAGCTTTCTATCCTCAATCAGCAAATCTGAATCAGATTAGTGCTTGTAAACGAAGTTAGTTTATTACCATAAATTGTAGTATGCGTATAACAAATGTAATGAAGGCTAACACGAAGAAGATCAGTGACTTACTTCATCATATTTACGGTCTGCATCTTCGGCGATATACTTGGCTTCCTTTTGTTGGTCTTCTAATTGACTTAGACGTTCGTCATCAGCAATAGAACGGATCTCAAGATCTTTCCGTCCACTATGTGCATTTCACGAGAGAAAAATAAAACACCAAGAAATTCAAAAATTATTAAAAAACATTCGAAGTGGAAGAGTACGGAAATAATGAGATTACCTCCTTATACTTTTTATCAGTTTCTTTTGCAGCCTCTGCTGCATCTTCAGCAGCTTTTTTTAGCTGCTCCACCTTTTTATCGTACGTATCCATTTTGTTTTGAACTTGTCTCCACATGCTGCGTGCAAACATGCAATAAATTTTATTAAAACTCATTCATGTGTGTAATATTCGAGTAGCGGAACCACTCGGTTAGAAAATAAACTTACCGTTCACTCTCTTCTGCAGTTTTGCTGGCTTCTTCCAATTTAGCCAGAGTTTCAGTAAGTCGGCTTGAAGAAACTTCCAAATCTTCTTCCAGCAAACGAATTCTTCTTGTCATTGCAGCAACCTCAGCTTCAGCCTATAGTGCATAAAGAAAGTATATTCGTAAAGTAGGTTATACACACCTTTTCACGCAAAGATGTCTCATGTCTTAATGTCTCATCTTCTGTGATGACATCAAACTGAAGCTTTTCAAGCTCTGTTTGCAATTCTTGAATTTTTTTCTTGACAACATTGGCAACATTTGAGCCACCAGTCATTTTCCAATTAGAAGCAACGCAACTCTAGATTGTACCGCGCAATACAACCTTGACATTTGATGGATTCAATGTCAGTGGACAAATTTCGAGAGAGCCATTTCCTTACAACTGAGGATGCGAAGAGATTTTGAAACAATTTTGAAAGCCACCAATATTCAAAACCAAAAGGACTGCTTCTGTCATGTAAAAAACGCAGCCCTTGCCAGTAATCTAGCAAAATCATCAAATTAAACATTAAATTGGAACCCAAGGTAACAGTAAAAATATACAATTATGATAGTGGGCGTCATTCTGAAGCGTTGAATTACACTGACGTTTGCATGGGGACTCGGTAAACTAATTGGAAACAAAATCTGTAATCGTCTGTTGATTGACTTCGGTCTACAGCAGAGGCTCGATTGCCATGTGGTTTATAATAAGGTGGTTAAACAGGGGGACACCTCAGTCGTAATGCGTACGATTCCAACAATTAGCAGTATTAGCTTCAGCCTTTTACGAACAGTGAATTTACTAACGATTATGGCTAAAAGCCAAAATAGTACACAAGGCCTTCTCTACTTAAGTGGTAAAATGGATCTGTATTATTTCTCGTAGTTTCATTTGAAGTCATTTAACGAGCCGAACAGAGAAAAAAAAGTTCAGTTTCACCCTAGATGCGTTTACTTGATACAACGCAGTGAGATAGTATTAATAAATGCACAGAGTTTTGAGCACAATTTACTGCTCATAGTCGAGTGATTGTGTGTGCACGACTTCTTGGTTTGCTTTATATAGTTTTACTCCCTCATGTTTCTTAATGCTACTTTTTGATATATATATATATATAAGTGAAAGCTTTTGCGTCAGCACTGCTGCATTTATTCTTTATTAACTTGATAAACAAAGACTCGACGGTTAGCTACTGTCACATATAGAAAATATCGACTCGGATAGAAGGAGGGTGTAAAACAGTATTTAAAAAATTAAACTGAAAATGTCACCTAGCTAAAAGTACTACGCGTATTATATCACATAAGCTTATCTGTTAGTTCATTGCACTCTTCCACGTTGGGAAAATGTAAAAACTTAGAATGCCAGGAAATTTATAGAAGCATGGTATTCAGATGAGTCAGCGATTAAAAAACATATTACTACTTATCATTTAATGAAAATAAACCAGATGACAAAAAGGTCAGTAGAAAATGGTCACTACTGATGCACATTAAGAAACAGTTGCGACAAATTTTATTAGGAGATAAAATTATGGCATCATCGGTGAGAATTTAAATAAGTTCATTTCATATTGAAGCTGGCATTAAAGACGTTTTGTAGAAGGGCGACGAAGGCTCCTCCATTAGATCACGGAGCTCAGAAGACGAAACCAAATGAAAATTGCCTAAGGTACATATCTCTGCTACTTCGATAGGAAAATTCTGCTTAAAGGTTGTTGCGATAAAAATAAGGCAACTAAAACCATGTTTACGCTTCATCACTTATTTTCTGCTATAGGGTGTTCGATGAAGACTTACATCCATATACTTAAATTTCAGTGTAGCCTTGTGAAAAGTCAGTGTAATGCATCACCCTTTCACCGGCATATACACTGTAGGAAGTTCTCCAATTAGAGACACCTTCTACTGGTCTATTTAAAGTTTCCCTAGTGACGCATCACGAAGTCAGTTTAGTTCCAGGTATCCGTCTTTGCACATCACAGAGATTCTACTCACTTATTATGCGATTATTTTCATGAAGCTTTAGATTCTTTCCGAAATTGTCGCTAAATCGGAACATTCATTCTCCTTTTCACCGGTGTTTTACTACACTGTAATTGAAAACCTGGGTACTGTGGTGTCTGAAACAAATTTTTTTGTTGCAATTTAGGGTGTAGCGGTAAATAATTCCCCAAAACTATTGACCACAGCAATCACTCATTGGATGCTGACCACCACTGTTTAAGTCGACTTGTTTAGCTGAAGGCTTCCGGTCAAGCATCCCCGCCATTTGGTACCTCGTCGTGTCACGTGCACAATCACTAGCTAGCTAAGCGTTCGTCTAACGGCTTGTTTTGGTTCCTAAATATATCTCTTGGTTTGGACGATCAATTATTGGCTTTTGCTTTGTCTTTGGTACGCGAGAATAAATTAATTAGAAGTTGTTGAACGAGATATCACGTCAACCTCTAAAAGGGGTTTAGGGGATGAGGGTGTGTTGACGTTCACGGATAATACAGCGTGTACTAACGCAAGATTTTATGCCGGACAAGTTCAACAATAGCATCCCAGGAGTGAGAACACTTTGGTGACTTTGAACGCATACCAGTCGTTGGCTGACGGCACTGGGTGACTCTAAAGAATAGCGGTCCAAACCGAAACGACCTTTTAACGCAAAAATGACCTTGATAGGGACAACTTCGGCCAATGAGAAGGCTCAAAAAGAAAGGCGCATGATTGTAAAAAACGGTTTATATAAAAGTAATGCAATCATAATAAGCAGTTACAAAGAATGGCGTTCGCGTATATGTTGCAAAAAACCTCCCAGTTTCTCATGGGAGTCTTCATAGTCATATGAAACCAGTTTCGGTACATAAATTCATCCAGGTAACTGTAAATCACGGGATTTCTCGATCCATTAACCGCTCTTATACAGCTTTCTGGACGACTCCAAAAACTTTCAATGGAACTGGTGTGGGTTCCATCCAAAGGATTCCGGAAACCGTCCGTATGATTAACGACATGATGAATGTACCCATGATTCGATAATTGACGGTATCCGCTCCATTCATCTGTATGAATAGTCGTCCCCGGCAACACCAAACGCTTATTAATAGGCACTAATACTGCTGCACTGCGATTGGGAATCGCTCCTATATACCCTTTGCGCACTGTCGTGTCGTAGATACCCAGTATCCACTGCTGGTTTGCTTGTAATCTCCTGCGGTTGTATTTCCTTTTTATAAGTACAGTCTCATCAATATTGACTGTGCTGCCGACTTCCCCGAGAACTTGAGTCAGGGTGTTCATTTTCCAGGAGGAAACATCTCTGCAGTAGTTGTACCATTGCACTGCTGACACCTCTGAATTTTCTGTTTCATAAGCTGTAGCTGTGACTGCTCTTTTCAGGACCCAGAAGTTACAGATCATTAAAATTTTCGTCAAAGGTAGTTTAGACCTTGAGAGAAACGTTCCTAAGGGATCTGTAAACTAAAAAACAACGACAAACCTTCTCGAACCGATTTCCTCCTTCGGCACTCAATACATCTGTATACAAAGCCATCAATGGCCTCTGTGTATATTTGTATATTCATAACTCCTCGGCATTGGCAAATTTTCGACAAAGCTATCAGTCCGTTATCCAAACAGTAATCGAAAACATCCATGATTACTTCCGAAAATGATACAGTCAGCTGATTCCTTGCTCAAGGTCACTTTTTGTTCGAAGGTCGTTTCGGTTTGGGCCGCTATTCTTTAGAGCGCTGTCATTGTCATGGCTGAAATATCTACGCTATTCACCACTTAAGCAGCAAATTTCACTCAGATCACGTTTTTAAGTACTGTTTCGCCAGTGTACTTCGTTAGGGTTAGGATTAGGGTTTAGGTAAGTATTATGGTTAGGGTTGGGATCGGGGTTATAATTAGTATCAGGGCTAGAATTACGGTTGGGCTAAGGGTTGTAATTAGGATGGAGTGAGTTTCAGTGACCGTTGCTCTAGGAACTTGAATTTTCGCTCTGGAGAACATCTCTCAGTATGGCTAAATAAAGGTGTAGTAAAAAACCATCAGCAGTTCGATATTAAACCATCTGGTCCAAACCCACCACAAACGCAGTCACCACTAAAGAATCCTTCTCTATCATTTACCGGGTCCCAATTAAATTGCCAAAAACATCGAGGTACCGCATACTTCAAACAGCAGAGGTTATTGCAATTTGCATGAAACAACCAGTGCTTTGTGTTCAAAAGAAGCAAGTCCAGCCACTACTACCACCCTGGATGGCCTTCAATGCAGACTATAAATTCACGAATTTGTATTATTATCTTTCCTAATTTTTCTGATATTCAGTGTATTGTTATTTTGATGCTATTGAACTGTAATCCACTGATAGTATTATTATTGATTTGATGTTATTTAAACAGCCTTAATGTTGTACATATTTAACCTTAAAAGGGAACTGTATAAATAAGAAAGTTTAAAGAGGAGTATTTCTTCTATTTTTATTTTGATTACAGCTTGATTCCACACCGTATTTTCGGTACAGGTATGGAATTTTCAGCATGTGATATCGGTAGCCCATATTTAGCAGACCGACCTTAGATATCGGGTGTGCATTGGTAGGAAATAGAACCCCAGACCATGAGTATGATCGGCGAGAGTCCTAACCACTGTGCCACTGACGCTGACGAGTCCTAAAGTGATGACTTCACTAAATACTGCAGCGTTTCTTCCCTCAGTTGTTGCTTGTTTTAAAAGCATGTTGGTTGAATAAAAGATCCGATTAATTCAAGTCATGTGACGAAATGAGTGAAGAGATTTCTAACTGAAATATCAGTCAGTAAGAGCAAATCATGAAAGAAAGAAAACACACTGTGCGTCGGTGGCATAGTGGTTGGGACTCTCACCGACCATGCACATGGTCTGGGGTTCGAGCCCACGCCGACGCACACCTGATATCTATGGTCGGCCTGCGAATTTCGGGCTACCGATATCCACGCTGAAAATTCCACAATTGTACCAAAAATACGGTGTGGAATCAAGCTGTAATCAAAAATAAAAAAATAAATAAACAGATCCTACCAGATTCTTGATCAATTTAAAACTTAGCACTGATCAAGTATAACATATTA